GAAATTCATTTATACGGCTTTCACTGCTACGGTAATTTTGACATTATTCCAGTATTCTTGTTTGTATCTTATTCTGAAGTGGCTACTTGGCTTGTAGCTGCTGTTCTCGCAGCTCCCGGTGTGTCCCTGTGTCACCGCTGTTTACCTCCTTGTATACAAAGATCTGCCAGTGTGTCGGGCGGCCCTGTTGACAGGTAACAATGCCACTGGCTGAGGGGGGTCCCAGCAGAACCAGCGGTCCTTTAGGAACAGAGCCTAGAATAGCACCGACATGGGGTTCACTGGACCCCATAGTGAGAAACACAAACACACAGCAGCAAACCAACAACACTTAACCCGCCCGTCAGAAAGCCTGACGTATATTCACATGCAATGGTAAATAAACAACACAGTTTGTTGTTTGTTGTTGACAAAGGCGCAGTATTGACTTTGGCAGAGAAAATGACATGTTTGCCGGCTCACATGGAGCAGCTCAATACGAAACAGAGAGGAAAAGGTTGACCTAACCTCCGGGCAGGACTTCTTCAACTGTACAGAGCACTAATTGTCACGATGATGTAACTCCTGATTCTTCGCTGTTATGTTTCCATTCCTTGATGTCTAACCCAATGTGTTGAAGATGCACAGCACAACACAATCTATTCTTTACATCGTTTTTCTCTGCCACATTTCAAAGCGGCTTTGGGTGTTTTGTGCAAATATAAATAAGCTGTGTTCTCAGACTCCCCCGATGCTTTTCGCAAGTGAGAGAATGAAACGCACGTCGCTCCACCTAGACTTGTGAAATAACATCTGGGATGCAATATAGCTTGAAATGACGGCTGTGCCTCGTTCACCTTGAATCCTGGCTTGGATCCAAGATGTAAACAAGTGAAAATGCAAGAAAAAAAAAAGTTGAAGTATCCCATATGTTCATGCATAATCATAATCTTCAACATTCTAATCTAAGAGATTATCATAAAACCCAACAGTGATAAGGACACTAAAGTATTCCCATTACACATACACCATGATTTCTCTCTTATTAATCTAACAGCATTCTGAAAAGAGTTAAATGTTCAATGAGATTCTGACCAAGGTTTGGACAAAACAATCTAACTGAAATCTGGAGTTTATCTCAATTGATAATCTATAATCAAATCTAATACAGTAGTCCATCATTTATCACGGATGATCCGTACCCTGAAGCCCTGCGATAAGTGAAAAACCGCAAAATAGGAATAGTAATACAAGTACCGGGTAGTAAGTAGTAGTTTATTTCAGTATCGTGAGTAGCGAGGAACTACTGTACTCTTTTACTGTAGTAAACCCATAATGAAACAGGGTGTACAGTGATGTTCATAGCAGTCGCACAACTGTATTAAAGTACGAACAAAGTACTTTAGTACCATCAAACAATTTTCTGTCAGGTCATATGGACAGTTTATTTTTTTTTGTGCTGAAATGTTTCACCTTCCATCCAGAAGGCTTCATCAGTCAAGGAAAACAAACAAGATAAAACTGATTCTTCCCCTAACAGCTTACTCCAAAGTGGAACAAACCAGTTATGTTTGTGCTAAGAGGGTGTCTTTGGCACGCCCCCTCCTCCAGTGTCGGCCCTCTCCCTCGTCGACAGTCATGTCGAACTGGTTCAAAACCAACAAAGTTCATGCTCAATAATCCAGGTATACAATCCAACAATTTTCAGTCAGGTCATCTGGACAGTTTCTTTTTTTTGTGCTGAAATGTTTCACCTTCCATCCAGAAGGCTTCATCAGTCAAGGAAACACACAACACAAAACTGATTCTTCCCCCAACAGCTTACTCCAAAGTGGAACAAACCAGTTATGTTGTTGCTAAGATGGTCTCTTTGGCACGCCCCCTCCTCCGGTGCCGGTAGCTTTAGTACCAGTTTGCTGGTGCTAAGATGACCTGTTTTTTTTTTCCCACTGTGAAGTATGATGTTTGTGGGAATCAGTTTGTTTGGTGGCTCCTCCGGTTGAAGAAGTCCTTTGGGTGAAGGACGAAACATCTCAGGAAAAAAATAAACCATCCAGATGACCTGATTGAACATTACTGAATTTTATACTTGGATTATTGAGTATGAACTTTGATGTTTTGAACCACTTTGGCATGCCTGTCTCAGAGGAGTTAATGGCAGAGAGGGCAGGCCCCATAGGCCATCAGCTGTGGCTGAGTGGTTAGAGCAGTCGTCATCCAGTGCAAGAGTTGGGGTTTCGAATCCACCTGCAATCACATGCTGAAGTGTCCCCGGACAAGACCCTGTACCCCTCATTGCCTCAGATGTGTGTCCCATCTGTGTATGAATGTGATCTAAAGCACTGATTAGTCTCTTTAGAATGATTTGTTCAATTATCTTTGTAGAGATCTAGTAGAGTGCTGTATGAATGGATAAATGAGGACACAGATTGTAGTGTAAAGCACTTTGATTATCTTGAAATAAGATAGAAATGCGCTATATAAGTACAGAACATTTACCATTTATCTTAGCACCAGCAAACTGTTTTTTTCCACTGTGGAGTGTGCCGTTTGTGGGAATCAGTATTCTTTGGTGGCTCCTCAGATTGACAAAGTCCTTTGGATGAAGGACGAAACATCTCAGAAAAAAAAAGAAACTGTCCAGATGACCTGACTGACAATCGTTGGGCTACATTTAATTATTACTTCTGACATTTTATTTATATTTTAGACAGAAACTGTTTTATAAAATATAATAAAAAAAGTTCAGACCTGCCCATGAAACTTCCTGCTGTCACATGATAAACCAACAGCTACTAATTCATGTTCTTGAGTCACATAAATAATCAGGTAGCTAAATCCTTTGGCTCTACTTCAGTTATGGAGATAAATTTTAATTTTAAGGGTCAGGCCATATAAATCATTGTTTACCGTTGCGCAACAGGCAGTTCTAGTTAATGAATGAAACTTCCTGTGTAATTACTATTGACGTTATAGCAGCAGAGCGCATGTTCAAGATGAAATTATGCCGTGACATTTTCAACACACAGCGCTGACTGTATTTGTGTATTTTGTGAAAAATGTGAGAAATAAAATTTGTTCTGATGTTTAAAGAGACTGTTTGCTTCATTTAATAAAAAGTAATGACATTTAGGTTTTAGGCAAGTCTCTGTCTTGTATTGATTAAGGCTGATTTAGTCAAAGTTTGCATGAAAAAGAGTAAAACAGTGAAGCTATGTGTTATGTTAAGAATTATGATTATCCTTCTAAAGCAACTTAAAAAAAATACTATAATCCCCAATGAAGTTGTTCCTATAATTAAGTTTACTTTAGGTCTCTAAAAATAAAGCTGAACGTTAAAGGGATTCTTCACAGTTCTAGAAGTGGTTGTGCGAAGAAGTTTTTAAGAATTATTGTTTTTTTAGTTATAGAAATCTACTTAAATGACCTCAGTTTAAAGAAATTAGTTTAATTTTAACCGGATAAGCTAACGGCTAGTCCGAGCTGAACCCCAATAAGGTGGACTGCAGTCATCCTAAAACAACTCCTTTATGAAAAACTTTGAAGTAGTTCTTGAAAACTCTAAATGATAAATCTTTACACTGCTGTTAATTTTTTGTAGTTTTTTTTTTTTTTTTGCATTCTGATTTTACGGTAGTTAACTGTAGCACTTACGGTTGCATCCTGGCGCATTTCTGCAGGAAGTGCTACAGCTAACTGCTTAAAAATACACACAAAATTCAATGTAAATGATAATTTAATTAAAAACTGACCAAAATGTTAGTTTTATATATATAAAAAAACATGTTTCTATGAACACACATGTTAAACTGATTGGTACCATATTTTTCGGACTATAAGGCACACAGGATTATAAGGCGCATTAAGTGAAACAAAACAGTCAGAAAAGTCAGACTTTATTCAACTCATTCACAATAACCACATAAAATTGGTTTGAGGTCAGTAAACACAACCAGAATTAATACATAAGGCTCACTGTTAAATCTGTTGGACTCCTGGCAAGGACCAATGCAGACATGCTCCTGTTTTTAGTTTTCTACATTCGCCTTAAAATCTAGCTGTTTTTTGTTACTTTTCTTTTTTTAGCCATCCTATTTGTTAAAAAAAAAAAAAAATCTGTATGCCTTCTTATATTTGTCCATTGTTGTCATCAATCTTTGTTGAAATCAGGTCTCTCTTGTAAATGAGTCCTCGAGGCTCAATTGGATTTACCTGTCTAAATAAAGGTTGAATGAACTGTTGATATTTGAGAAAACTAAAGGATTTTAAATGCGCCTTATAGTCCGAAAAATATGGTAACTGTAAATTGTCTCTAGGTGTGAGTGAGAGAGTGAATTGTTGTTTGTCTCGTTTGTCTTTATGTGTTCCTGCGATGGACTTGAGACCTGTCCAGGGTGTCCCCCATTTCTCGCACAGTGATAGCTGGACATGGGAACCAGTGACCACTGCAACCCAAAAAGGAAGAAGCAGGTAAAAGATAATGGATGGATGGATGGACGGACGGACGGACGGATGGATGTAAAACCTCTCTGAATGGAGTTGTTTTAAGATGGTGGAAATCAGCTTTGGTCCTGGACCTGCTTGGATTAACAGTTAGCTTGTCAGTCTGATCAAAAATGTATTTCTGCAAAGCGCTCAAAGCATTTTCTACAACAAATCATGTGTTAATTGTTTGTAGCATTTCCACAGATACCCAAGTTAAAGATCTATACTATCTGTTAAATGAGTGAACAGGGTTACATTTTGTCTGGCATAAAACAACAATCTGTGCTAATTTTTCACAACTTTTCAGTCATTAAATAAAACTTGTTCTTAATATGAGACATAAATCAAACCCATGTATGCAGCCAGAATTGAAGAAAATTGGACTTGTAAACTGAACTCCATCTGTTTGAGACAAACTTTGTTTCTCTGTTAATGTAAAATAGCCACACACACAAAACAGAAATCACAAAAACATAATTTGATATTTCAGTTTTATCACTTCAAGGGAAAAGGGTTGCGTTGTGAGCAGCACTTACGTCGAACGTCTCTGAAGTAGATGGTCTGTCTGTTTGGGTTCAGCAGCTGGATGACGGAGTCGTCGTTGTTCTTCACTCTACAGCTGATGGTGCCCATTTCCCCCTCGATCACCGACACGTTGTCAGTCGCCAGGTTCTGACTATCAACTGCAAAACATACGCAGAAATGAACATTAAACTTTAAACGGCACACAAATTTTCCCAACTGAATATTTAGAGTCTATTAAATATTTAGATTTTCGACATCGGGGACTACACGCGAACATGTGCAGTGAAGATATGCGAATAGGCTGTGTAGATCGTCTATTTGCAGCCATGTCTAATCCGTTTATTATAAGAGCCATGTGCGTTGTTTGTCATTATTGATCTCCCCAGCTCAGAGCGGGCCCCTGTGCGCTAGTGCCAGATGGGCTGTAAGCTCTGCTGCCCACAAAGATGCAGAGAGAGGAAGGCTATGAAGGAAAAAAGACAAAGAATATAAGAAAGTGGCGAGGCAGCAGATTTGGACGGGGAGGTGGAGGTGAGAAGGAAAGGGTGGGTTACACGGAGCGCGAGCGAACAGAGAGGGACGAGCTGAGCTGGATGCTGTTTATAGTTAAGCTTTATCAGATCTCACCATCTGAGCTTCCATGTGATCAGTGTACTCTGCTCTGTATCTCCAAGAATACAAGCATCTGAATAACTCCCTGTGCTCCGGCGTTGTGGCCACTGACAGACTTTGGACCTTGTCATCATAACATACTGGGCTACCCTCTGCTCCCACAACACAAAAAAGCCTGGATTTATCCCCCACCTCTGTTTAAGGAGGGAAAGAAGAAGGAAATCTGAAGTCACCTTGTGCTATATTTATTTGGCAGGAGCCAAAAAAAGCACAAAGAGAATACGTTTAGTGAATCAGATTCACACCAGAGAAAGAACTACACCCCCCCAAAAAATAAAAACAAAACATCAAAAGCACATTTGCATGCTTGAGCTGACAGACACTTCTATTGCATTCTGACATTTACAAAGTGGAGGGGGGTAAAAGGGAAAAAAAAACAAAAAAAAAACGCCTGCATTTTTAGATAAAGATAATGGGAACAGACAGCCAAACTAACATGATTCAAAATGAACTCTGCGAACGCAGCGAGCAATAAGAAATTAACCTCCTGTGGAGAAAAGCTCCTCAGACCTGTCTGATGCAATGAACCACCCATTTCATTCCACTCTGGTGCCGGCGCGCAGGTTCAGGACAAAAGAAGGGTAATAGGTAAAAACAGACAACCGATTATGCGCCAAAGTACACAAAGCAGGCAATTAAAGATTTTTAGTAAGCACAACATGCGTGGGTTTAATTTGATCAAATAAATGTGAATTATACATGGACATGAATCAAATTAAAGGCGGTGATAGAAAGTCAAGCTCATTGTACTTTCTAATGGCCAGCAGATGAATCAACACTAAACGTTTTTCTAAAGGAGGTCGTATAAATGCAGGAGCTCCAGACAATTTGCACTTTTTTTTTTATTATTTACTCCATCTGACATTTGGATTTCCATAAACAAAACCCTATTAAAGTGGTTTATTACTTCTTATTTTTTTATTTGAGAGAAAGTGTGCAGTCATGTTAAAACATTTGAGATGAAAAAAATGGAAATCTTCGTTCAAGTCTAATAAACGTGAAACAACTCAGTGTTATCAAGGTTGGATCAAAATGGCAACAACTTGATTATTTCTCACCATAAGTCCTATCATTGCCTAAAAGTCTGGCATGAAAGGTGACGGTGAATGTGCATTCCTTTAGATGAGGGGTTCTCAAACTTTTTTGGGTTCAGGGACCACTTACAGGAGAGAAAAAAGTTTCAGGGACCCCCTCATAACCCTCATGTTTATTAAATAATTTTCTTCAATTTGTCTCTTTAATGTAATGGAAATATGTGTGTAACATAAATACTTAAGACTTGCTCTTTAATAGTGTTAATACCGTTTTTATTCTTTTAAACATGGGCTATTTTTCATTCAAGACCCACTTAATTAACAAAGTTTTTAATTTCAACTTCCAAAAATTATAGTTGAAATGAACTGCATCAAAAACCACTTTAAAACTTTACCTATTCACATAATTGAACATAATAAATGTATCGCCACTTCTTAATATTATTACAGAAATTTCTTTACATGAAACTGAACAGAACCATAACAGCAGTAGTCATACCAAGTAACGTAACTTAATTTGTAAACTGGTCTATGTCAGAATGCATATAGCAAGCGGGCCGGTGGGGTGGTGCAGGGGGTCTGGGGGGTTTGGGGGTCCTCCCTCCAAAATTTTTGAATAAAGGAGATGTATTTTCCTGCATTTTGGTGTATTTTAACAGATTGTTAAACATCTACGTG